TGACGCCATTATTCTTAACGGGAGTAGGATTTACATCAATATCCAGTCCAGTTAAGGTTGGATCACTTCAACAATTTACTGTTGGATTGAATGATGGGTCAACTTGGCTTATTTATGCCGGTGGAAGTCCCGAATTAGTATTGACATTGACGGATGGGAAAATCGTATGTGACTCGGGACCATTTTCCGGTACCATTCAAATCGCCAAAGTACCAAAGGGTAACGACGAAGCTATAGGTATTTACAGCAACAGTTCTGGAACTTATGCCACGGGCGTTGATTTAGACGTGGAAAACGACGGGTTGGTTTCAATTTTCTTTTTGTTTTCGGTTATCGCATACAAAATTTTTGTGTTAAAATTTCTTCTGCATACATACACCAACGTTTTATTAGAAAAGTCGGTTCATATACCTTTAATTGGAAAATTGCCGGTGACTCATCTAAGTCATTATTGCAATTTGCATTACCGCATCACGTTTCATCGCTTACATCTGGAGCCACCTCAACATCAATTTCATTGACTTCGCCGTCCAAAGGACAAATGATAGCATTTAGTGGCAATTCTTGGTCATTTACTGAACCAGAATTAAATAATATTGGAATTCTTCCAACAAATTTTGAGTCATTATTGACCGGAGATCAAAAGGCATTGATCGCAGAACAAGTTAAATTAGATATTGCTCAAGATTTCACAAAACTTTCGAATTTGGAGAGTACGTATTTTAGTGGAAAAGTGATGGCTAAATTTGCCCTAGTTTGTTTGATAGCGAAAGATGTTATCGTAGATGAAGCATTGTCGACAACTTGCATTGATCAATTAAAGGTATGTGAGATCATTTTGCGAAAAAAGGTTGAAACAAATGTTTGTAAAACAAGGGCCAACCTTTTTTTTTTTTTTTTTGTAGAATGCTATGCAATCCTTTGTGACAAATACACAAACAGTTCCTTTTCGGTACGATAGCTCATGGAAAGGAATCAGCATCGATCGAGATGATCAAGGCGCAGATTTTGGTGCTGCTTTCTATAAGTACTGTGATCTTTAAAATTAAAACTACGAAAAATCATTTTATCGCACCATAACATCAACTAATTATCATCATCATTTTTAGTGATCATCACTTTCATTACGGATATTTCGTTTACACCGCAGCAATTCTTCGTCACTTGGACGAAGCATGGGGTGCACAAAATGGGGAGTGGGTGGAATCCTTGATAAGAGACGTATCCAATCCATCAGCAGACGATACATTTTTTCCAACATTCCGTAATTTTGATTGGTTTTCGGGACATTCATGGGCGAGTGGTATTATTGCTTCGGGAGATGGTAATAACGAAGAGTCAACAAGTGAAGATTATAATTTTGTTTATGGAATGAAATTATGGGGTCAAGTTTCCAAAAGGCCACATACTGAACAGTTAGCTGATGTGATGTTAGCCGTTGAAGCTAGAAGCATGAGTACTTATTTCTTAATGGAAGATGATAATGTTGTTCAACCTAAAAAATTTATTAAGAATAAAGTTACAGGGATTTTATTCGAGAATAAAGCCGATCATACTACATTCTTCAGCAACACAACAGGTAAGTAAACATATCGGAGAGCGGTAACTTTGATTATTTTGAATAAGAAAGGTAATAACGAACGAAATCTCTTTTTAAGACGCTATTCATGGAATCCAAATGATACCTGTGACTCCAATTATGCCATATATCCGTTCAAAGAAATTCGTGAGTTTCAAATATTGTATCCTCATGTTTCAAATGCTTATAATTCGTTATTCTTCTAACGATCTTTTTTTTTTTAAAAAAAAAAAAAATAGATTACCGAAGAATGGAACCAAATACTCGCACCCATAATCGGTGGCTTGACAAGT